TAGGTTATGATCCAGCTAGGGAAAAGGAGAAGCAACATAACACCAGGTGTTAACAATCAGAATTTTCAACCTAGCCCAGTCCCCAACAATCACTACCAGCATCTAAAACCAAATCACAAATTATACACAAATGTTCACAAAGGCGGTACAGAGGCAAGCTGCCTATCATGTCAGCTGCCACTAATGATGTGCGGCCAGGCTCTTAAACTCTCTTCCTCTGATGCTTAAACGGCTACAGGTGTGGTGAGGACTGCAAGGATCATTGCCGCACCAATAGGAGAAGCCAACTGTGGAGTTGGAGGCTCCTCCTCTCTCCTCCGACCAATCCCGTTACCAAGTTGGTGCAGACTGATTAGTATAGACAAAACACTTTAAAATCCAGGTGAACATATTTTTATATCATGCAGAAAGTTAAACAAGAGCAGAACTGATGACATAATTATGGAAGATTGCGCCGGTAGATAACATTAAAAGAACATTCCTGGAGAACTTTTGAATGTGCCTGCTGCTAGTGCATGTACTTTATTCCTCACGTTTCAATCTGTACAAAAGACGTTCCCTTTAGTTTCATTCATGTCTAGAGACTTATCCTGACACTGACCTCGGTCACTGCGGGTGTTCCTCAAAAAGCCTTTTCAAGCTGTCACGACTGGCCTCAATAACTTCACACTGATGGTTTTAAACACAAATTTGTCCCAACCATAGCAAGACATGTATACACACATGTACATGCACTTACAGAAGTTGATCTGCAATAAAGCTATACCACTATATCCCCATATAAACGATAGCTGAGTCATTCTGTGAAGCAGGTGCCATTTGGGTCTGCAACATTAGATGAGATGCATATGGCACAAAAATATGCAAAAGTGTGTTTCCAAATCTTAAAACCATTAAGTCAAGTTCTCTTGCCGTGATGTTAGATGAGAAAATACTACTTACAAAGACTAACATACTATTTTTAGCCATTTTTCCTTAGAACATGGCAATTTTCACATGTCCGTATGAAACAACTTGACATTTGTATCTAAAATATCACCAATAAATGTAATGTATTTCTTATCAAATCTTTATTATTGTCAGGATTATATGTGTGTCCCTATTTACATGAGATATTTATTTTTTATAAACACTAACATATTTTGTCTATAAACAATATACTGTTGCTTTTAACTGACATCACAAAGAGGAAGTGGCATCAAATGTCTAAACAGCTGGTCTGTCCTCTCATCAGAGGAAGCTGAACTGGAAGTGGTTTTCTGGCATCATCATCATCACAGCCCATTTGAGAACTAAGGATGTCCGTGCAGTCTCCTTTGTCCATACATGAGGTCCTCCTTCTGTGGGCACCAGTCATTCAGTTTTCAGTGTGGATTCCTTTGAATGACAGTAAAAGACAAACACTTTAGTTCAGACATGGTGGATCACAGTTAATCACACACACATATACCAGCTGTCAGGACAGGTGCATGAATACCTGCTTCAGTTGAGGACTCCTGTGTATGAATTTACAGTATTAAATGACAAACCCCCACAAGATAATGTTCTAGTATACATTGTGTATTGTACTCAATACGATACCAGCGAGAAGAGGAGACAGAAAATAAGTTAATGTGATAATAATGCAGAATGTTTTGCTGGCATGTAGGAAAATTCTAACAGCGACTGATTTTTTCTAATAACATGAGAGTGAGATAAGTTTTAACTATATTATAAATTAGCGCTCTTGTACCTGCAAAAGTTTACATGTTGGGACCAGCGCTCACCGGCTCTCCGCATACAACGCTAAGAGGAATTAGCCCCGCCTTATGTTATGTATGTATTATGGTTAGCCCAAAGTGTTAACTGTCTCCGTTCTCCGGTCAAAGCACGTAGGGGAAAAAAGGAACTAGTGTTTTTACTAGCATCATACACATTAAAACTGTAGGACGTTCAGAAAATAAACATTTACTTACCGAAAAAAACTGTATATCATCATCATCTCTCCAGTTTGTTAGTGACGAAGAATGAGCCATAATTACTGTGAACCGAAAACTCATTAAAACTAAAGAACTAACAGTAAAACTGTCAGTGCAAAATTCCTCCTCCGCCGACAAATATTAAGAAAAATAACAGAAATTTAACACAACTGATTCAATACGATGCACACACGACCCAAGCTCCCCTCCGGTGATCGACCTCCCGGCCTGCCGCGTCATCTGATCAATCATTGCAGACCAGGCATATCAATCAAACAGACACGCCCCCAAAATACCTGTTTTTAAGGCCTAATATCTAATTAATTAGATGATTATTTTCAGATGGACCACCAGAACACTGAACGAGAGGTGTGAATTTAGCCCATCACACCGTATCGACTGAGTATTTCATGAGAGAAGTTGGTGTTTTTATAATGAGTGTGTATTGGACCCTGTGGTTAAACCTCTGTGATCCAGCAGAATGAAGGAAACCACCTGATCCAAGGCCAGACATAGTTTCTGATGCATTTGATATGACAATAACTTAAATGTAATAAACATAATATCATTTTAACTCATCTTAAATATTTAATTATGATGTGTGGCAATGCAATTACACAAAATACAAACTGCTTTTAACAGAAATTGATTGAGTGATTTGAGCCTAAATGTATGGGGTGGAGTAATGTGCATGACTTACCATTTCTTGCTGGGTAAGGCGTGGTTCTGGCCCAGGTGATTCTGCCATAGCTATAAACACAACAAAAGGAAAAATAAGGACATAAGCAGCTTCCTCTTGACTATGTAAATGTTTTTTGAAGCATTCTTAGGACTTCACAAGATAAAAGATTTATCAATCATCCATTTAAACTTCATTTACCACAAATGATACATGTACATGTGAAGAAGACACACAAAAACACTGAAAGAGGAAGAGCTTCTGTCTATGTACACATGCAAAGCACAAAACTGTAAAATGTGGTGCTCAAAATTCCTGTGTGACACTGAACATAAATATACATCGATACATATATCAAAGAAAAAATTAATAAAACAATGAAAACAATCCTACAAAACTATGTACAAATGTGTTTTAGAATGACAAAACTCCTGCTGGGCAAGATGTGCAAAAGATCACAGTATAGACAATATCTGCAGGGACCATACCTCAGGGTGTTGATGTAAAGTGGTTGATGATTGATGAGGCCACATGCAGAAGAAAAGGCTGGTGCTGGTCCATCATTGGTGATTAGACTGGACTTCTGGTCCTGATACAGACAAACATGTGATAGGACAATTCCTTTAGATCATACCAGTTCTTCATAATCAAACATGTTAGATCTGTTGTGTGTGTATATTCAGTTGTGAAGATAGATATGAAAATGCAAAAATACAGTATGAATATTATGAAATTTAAATGCAAGGAAATGAAGAGTAAACAACTAGAGGTATGATAAGAATTCATTGTAAACACACTATATAACCAACAAATGCAGCACGTTTCGTTTCGGTCAATATGAACTAATCTTTTATCTTGTACATTATTCTGTGGTTTCACAGACTAAAAACTGAAAGGGGAGCATACGGGTTCTTCCCGTTAGGCTCGTCCCACCCCTAGTCATGACGTAACTTCTGTTGTGATTTGACACTATGATGAATAAAGATTGATTGATTGATTGATTTATTGCTATAGCTGTCAATTTTAGTCCTCGAGTTCATAGTTAAATGCTTTATTTGTTAACTGCTATCAAGGAATATGACTCTCCTTTGTAGTATGCATGAGAGAAGATGTCGCGAGATTAGTGGACTTCTATGCAGTGTCCGCTGATAATGTGTGGGCTGGTCTGGACAGAAAATGCCAGGGCTGAATTTTTGTCCCAGTCCACCCCTGGGCGCGACTGTGCAGCTTCTGGAGCCTCCCTGTCTCCCTCCTCTGAAATGCATTCATTCATTCATTCATTCATTCATTCATTCATTTCCTTTATTTCACACACAAATCAGAAATAAAGAATAACATATACAAGTATACAAACATAATAGTAGTAATGTGTCGTCGTGGGGTTGTGTGAGGTCAGTCATATACAGTCGGTTCATCACCTGCAGTAGATTCTGATCAGCTCGCTCCCAGGTAGGAGATCAGACCAGGAGCACCGTCAGACCAGCAGAGTGACGTGTTGCTGTGGGCGGGGCCACCAGAACAAACCTGTTAAAAACACTTTTAAATACAAAAAAATCCAACATGCGTTTAAATGAAGTTTCATGTAGAATATTTTCAGAGGTTTATTTTCCTGTGAAAACAGCACTTTCCTTTGGCACTATATTTCTTCAACCGCTGAACTACCGTATTCCTACGCACGAGTTCACCTACAGAGCGCACTGTATAACGCCGCAGGAGCAGATGTAAGTTCAAGAACTTTTAACCTGGTAATTAAAAAACATTTGGGTAGAAAACACAATGAGAAACAAATGATTCATGTCTGAAAGAGGATCTTCAGGTTTCATTTCATCGAGCTGTTGATCATCTCCTTCAGTCTTTTTATGATACCAGCAGCTGATCCAGATGTTTTATGAACCATTTTATTCATGTTTGTTCATAAGAAGAGCCTTAAGTCACCAGAGCCACGTTTAGAGAAACATAAACAGACCAACAATCTTTTTTACCCACAAATTATCATGCACAATTTGCCATGATTCTACATCATTCAGGTAACTGTGCACATGATACAGATTTATAACTTATTGCTTTATCAATAGCTTTTCTTCTTCCTCAGTCAGGCTGCGGATGGTGTTCTTCGTCGTATCCCTCCAGGTCGTCGTGAATGACATCACCGTGCTGATCCTGACACGTCCGCACCACCTGCAGGACGGCCGCCAGGCGTCGGTCCAAAGCAGAGAGGTGTGGCTCGGACAGGACGGGGGCCACCGCGCCTGCCAGAGGATCCCGAGCCAGCGACTCCCGCATGACGTCACTCAGGCGGAAGCCAGGGAGAGACAAGAGACGCAGGCGGAGGAGGGTGGAGCGATGCATCCTACACAGTGGAGGAGAGGCGAAGGAGATCACAGAGAGACACTGTAAGTTATAAAGGATTTGAATGAAATGATGCTTGAACTGACACCAAACGACCTCTCCTGGTCCCTTTAATCGTGAGCGTTTCCTACTGACTTCTTCTACCACACCTGGGGAACTTTATCGACTCGTTTCTTTACAAGCTGTTTCTCTCATCCTTCATTTTGAAGTTTTTTGTTAGTTTGTTAGTTTTACCTGCAGCACTGTTGTAAAGGAGCCAGAATAGACGGCTCATCCCGAGAGTGACGCCCAAACCTGGAAAACATCATCAACAACATTTTTAGTCATGAGAAAGCAACATAAACCAAACGTTGCCACGGTGACGGTCACCGTGGACAGAGATGAAAGTGATGTTGCTGCGGCAGAGAATCACCTCTTCACTGTTTGTTAGACACACATGACTTGTTACGATACACTTGGTTAAAATGGCTTTTGCTGTTGTTTTCTACTGTGAGCACGTCTTCAGCCGACGGAGCCGTCAGGAGTGGAGAGATTACTCACGCCCGTCCGTTATCCAGATGCAGCAGAAAAGTCTTGTTGCCAAATTTCTCAAACGTCTCGTAGTGATGTCTGTCCATGTTGCCTTCGAATGAAAAACAGTCATGCTTCATTCGACTGCAGGGAAAAAGCATTTTTCTTTAAGTAGAACAAGTTAATAATGCCAATAACACCCAGAGTGCCAGAGGTCAGTGATATATTTTGAACCCGTTCACCTCTGCTCTTAGAGGAGGAAAATAAGAACATGTAGGTCAGTTCCCACTTTACGTTTTGAAACCTGCTGTGTTGAGTTTAAGAGACTGACCCATGAGGAAGTCCAGCACGGCCATGTCTATGAGATCCACCAGTCTGGTGCCGTGGTCGTAAGGAGGCGTCTGTTTGACTGTGTCGCAGTAGGTCGGGTCCTTCTCCCACCTGGGGACGACAGCATTTAGAGAATAAGTCAACATTCATTCGTAGGAAATAAATGACTTTTTCTATTTTGTCATTAAACAGGATTTTTGTGATGACCGGTTTTGGACTCATGCCTGTTGCAGACTAAATGTGTAATGTGTCCTGCAGGAGGCTGAAACCGACTCAGTAAAAAGTTCTTCTCTCTCAGTTTTAATTAATGAATAGATTCTTTATTGTTTTATGTGGTGTTGTGTTGCAGTCCTTCATTCAGACCACCGGGGGGCAGCGTGCACTGACGGTTCACTCATGTTCACCACACTGTGAGCTCCACCGGCCTCAGGTCAGACACAGGGTGTAAGGTGAGCGGTGTTCATGGTGTTTAGTCTGTGGGAGGATTAACTGAAACAGAGGAGAGTGTACCCACCGGGCCAGCTTGGTGCGGCTGTAGGACCGTCTCCATGGCGACCTCCAGGACCTGCGGGGAGCGAGGGTGAGGTCAGGTAGCATGGCGGCCAGGGAAACCTCCAGTGCATGTGGCCGACCGCAAACTGGGTGCTCTGTTGAACAGTAATACTCACACTGGCCGTAGAAACACACGTTCCCCACTAAAGGTCAGAGAGAGAGAGAGAGAGAGAGAGAGATGGACGTTTAGTTGTACACTCACACACACACACACACACACACACACCGGGGGAAGTGAAGAAGGTTCTGGACAGCCTGTGGTCTGTGGTGATCTCTCTGATCTCTGCTGTGACATTGATGAGCCGACCCACTGCGGGGGGGATCCTGTTGAAGCCCAGCAGTCTGAGGTGGGAGACAGAGACGGACATTAACAAAGGAAAGACGGGGGGGGGGGGGGTTTATAAATTGTTTTATCTCTTCACTTGTATCCCCAAGGACAAGCAGGACAGTAGCAAACCTGCCTCTCCATCTGTACCTGTCCAGGTGGAAGGCAGCGATCTCAGCGTTGTGTCTTTCAAAGTCTGAGAAGTAGAAGAGGTTTAAGTCCGTCTCTGCATCTCTGGGCTGTCTGAACACACACACACACACACACACACACACACACACACACACACACAATACGCTGATGTATGTCATGTGTTACGGTGAAAACGCTCCCCCGCCATACTGTACACAAACACTGACAGTCAGTACTGGGTCCTTACTTCATGGGTTTGAGCAGAGCCTGTCCGTAGTTTGGGAACGATATGAGCAGTTTGAGCTGCGTGCCTCCCGTCTTCTGAACTGAAAGAGTGGAGAGAGAGAGAGAGAGTGCATTAAAAAACAAAGAGATAAACAAGATTAATCCTTAAAACGCGATGTCACACACTCACATATTAGATCACAAAAACAATGAGACGTGTATAAAGGAAGTTGTGTCAAAGGAAAACTGGTCAAACCAACATCAGTCCATCTCACATGGCTCGCTCACAGATATAAACTTTTACTTTAAAAAGAAAAAGGTTAAATACAATCCTGAAACATCTGGGCACTGTAGTTTTTATCTTTGTAGTTTTTATCTTTTGTTTAAAATAGTGCTTTTGTTGCGGACTATTTTCAGCTGCGGATTAATACGCATTTGTGCCCCACATGGTTGTGGGACTTACTCAACATAAAGTGCAGTGTCCATGTTGATTGTAATGATGTAACATGTCGACTACATCAGTCTTTGGCTGCACAGAAAATACTTGTTGGACAGATCAGTTTATAATTGAGTGTTTTTTGTCTTTTCATGGGATTTTTTTGTTGACAAAAAGAAGTAGTAATAAAGTGTATCAGCAGACTTCTCCTTTAATACGACTGATGTAATACGACAATGCATTACACCACTTTCTCCACACGGTGGCCTATTAAACAACAAACTAATACTGGACCCTCCATTTTGAACATTACCACTATAAGTCCTGTTTGAAATACTTCATGAAATGGATTTTTATTAGTTAACTAATTAGTATCAATGGCAACATTTCAACTATCTGATTTAATGAGGTTATATCTTGAGGCAATCTTGCTCCTGCAGCTCATAAACAAGGAAGTCAGTACATCGCTGTTTATTTTAAATATATATGTATTATTTTTACCTTCACTGACGTCTGTAAAGTGAACACAGTTTACATTCTTTCATCCGCCTCACCCGCACTTCAGACATCTGGGAAATGCGAATGAATAAAATCAAAGCATGCGTTCGTTTCTCTTTCGAGTGAACAAGTTCAATATGAGAGGAAAAATAAACCGCTGTGGTTGTTTTAATGTCACGCTTCAAGGAGCAAATCCTGGAAATAAATCAAAACATGTCAATCCTGAGATATGAATGAAATCCTCTCATATTTATTCATAATCCCTGTTTATAACTCTGATTAAAAAAAGGAACATTTACCTGAATTCACACATTTAAAGATGCTGTGCTGAGTGTTAAACACGGGAGAGAGAAAAAAAAAAGGGATGACACAGTGAAAAAAAAATCAGCCTGTAGCTGAGATTAGTGCTTAATCTGCAGCGTATAACACAAATCTCAATACATTATTCATTCTGCAGCTGAAGATGAGGACAGGGTGTCTGAGATGAGCAAACACAACATGAGCTGTGCATGTGCTTGTTTATGCGTGCATCCAGCATGTGTATGTGTGGGTCAGTGTGTCCTTGTGTGTGTGTGTGTGTGTGTGTGTGTGTGTTGAGACAATACAAGTTGGTGGGAGGATTATATTTATGACCTTACTACAAAAAGATGATGTGAGCTAAACATTCGCCTGCTGTTCAGAATTATAATTCTGTTTCACATTGTATTTTCTGTGTAAGTGCTGACGTCTGTTCATAAATGTAGTATTTACTCACACATACACACACACACACACACACACACACGATAAAGAATGAATTTATGGTCCCCACGCCTCTGCTCTGTTTGCTTTGCCACCTTCTTCAAACCCTCACGTCTGTGTGTCATCAAACACGGCGCTGAACCCTCCTGTGTTTGCTCTCTCATTCTGTGTTAAATGTACTTTGTGATTTGATTTTCATACATCCATGTCACTTTTTATACGTGTGCCTTTGTGTTAATACACGGATGCTTCTGTCAGAAATGTAATCTTCACTGTTCTGAATATGAACTTTGTCACACTGAGCACTGCTGCCTCCGGCTCTCTCGCAGACCGGCTTGTTTGTATGAAGGGATTAGAGTTAAAATGAGAAAGCAGCATGGTTTTTCGATGTTGTAACTGTGTTTAACCAAGAGGAAGCTGAATATTTATGCTCAAATTAAACCCTTGCACTTCTGGGACAATTCAGGGTAAAGTCTAGGTCGGTTTCTAGATCTACTCTTGGTGTATTGAGCAACGCAGCCCCCCCCCCCCCCCCCCCGGAGTGCTTCATTTCAGTGGAAGCCTGCATCCTAAATATGGTACAGAATACAGATCTAGATATTTCATACGCTGATTATTAGATTTGTTGCTTCTTGTACCATTTCCTGTCCTGTCTTCTCTCTGTCCTCTCACCTGTTACCCCTGCCCCCGCCTCATTTGCTCACCAGCGCTGTGGATACGGTGCGTTGCCAAATAGTGAGTCAGCTGGGCCAGGTTGGGATCCTTCCTGTTGTACAGTTCCCAGCGAGAGATGCCCAAGTGAAACCGCAGCCAAGGAGGGTGGGTCTCCACGTCGCTGGTCCAAGCGACTTTGTCATAGCCTTCTTCCTGACTGGCGCTCTGCCTTCAGGAGAGGAGGAAGTGGAGGTGATAAATGGGCAGAATTAAAACAATGAAAGTCCAACAGTCACGCTGAAGCTCGGACAATTTGTTTCAGGGCGGCTCTTGAATATAAAACATACTTTAGATATAAAATATGAAATGAAGAAAAATGTATTAAAGTTCCAGATGAACTAAAGCAATGTGGCATGACAATACTTTTCACTACATTACATTACAACACTGGTGTCATGGTTAAGAGATGATACAAATTCTGTATTCTATTCACCATCTTAATTTAATCTGTCTGTACTAATATTTTCTAATAAGCACATAACACATGTCTCAGAATTCTAACATTTTCTGGTATTTGCTGTCATAGTTGATGGGAATGTTTTTCAAGGATGAACCAAATTACAAATTAAAAAGTTTTGACCTGATGGTCCAAGATGAAAAGTTTTTTCAAGTTTCACGACAATCCAATAATTGTTGAGACACTTCTCTAAAAAAAAACAAAACCTCACGGTGGCAGCACTCGAGAAAAAAAATGATGGGATCATCAAAGTCAGTGAGTTTTTGTACATAATTTCATTTTAATCCACCTGGTAGTTGCTGAGATATTTACATCTGCATCAAAGTAGTGAACAGACAGACAGACAGACAGACAGACAGACAGACAGACAGACACTGCCATCCATAGAGCCAGGCTACTAGCGTGGCTAAAAACAGCCTTGCCATCATTTTATTTGTGAATCAAGCCGAAACCTTTAATGTTCAGATTTTGCCACAAGATTTTCGGATAGAAAACACTAAATCAGGCCACTTGAACTCAGTGCCTCATCAAAGATGCAGAACAGTGGACATTTTTCTTTCCAGAGCACCAGTTGTTTCTTAACTTTACATAATGATCGATCTATTTTCTCTGTCACTCACCACTCACTGTCATTACTAACGTCATCTTCCCTCTCTTCTTCCTCACTTTCCGTATCGCTCGCATCCTCATTGGTCTTCACCCTCAGCAGCCAATCATCTTCTCGCAGCTCTGGGTGTGGCAGGTTGTACAGCGGGTGATTGAACAGTGCCTCAAGCTTAGAGCAACCCTTGACCTTTTGAATCACTTGTCCAGTTCCGATCAGTTTCTTTTCCCTCTCACTGGCCGCACTGAAGCTGTCTTTACCTTTAAGGTGTAATGTGCTGGCATTCAGTTTGTGATGCTCGTCATTCTGGGGACTTGTTGGCAATTTCTGTGAGGAGGAGGAGGCATCTCCTGAAGAGGAGGAAGAAGATGAGGCGGGAAGGACACAGGCTGTCTGGAGGACAGACAGACAAAAAAATGCCAGAAGGAGGTGGAGAGTGAGGGACAAACACGCCAGAGCCAGATAGATTGAGCGAGTGGATCGGCCAAGGTTCTGTCTCATCATGCTGGAGGAGAGAAACACAACAGAGTGGCATTTAAAATCCCAACAGACTGTGGACCGCTGCCAACACTTCACACCTGATCATGATGAAACATTTTCTGCACATTGCATTTCACATATACAGTAGCCTGTATTTACACCTATTCACATATACAGGAGTGGACACAACAAGAAAAACACAATGAAAAAGAAGCTTTACTTTGAAAGAACTGAAATACTCACAAGGGCAGCTGTATTAAGGGTGAGGTCTAGGGTATTTTCTCGATTTTTAAATATTCTCTTAAATTCACTTTTTTAAAAGGTACTTGCATAATAGAACGTAATATTCAAGGGTTTTATATCACAAGTTTCGAAACTATCCAAGCTCTTTCTATAATGAGGCCACCCCCTTTTGTCCCAGAGTGCTTTTTAAACAGATAAGTAGCCTCGAATGCTGAAAAATTGAAGCCCAGTTTTTGAAATTCTTCGAATCTCTTATGAAACAAACCTTTAGTGATGTGGCTGAATTGTTTTGGTGCTTGAAATGGGTTTACCAAAGTCTTAGGTTCCTAAAAACAGCATAATATATGAGTGAAATAGTAGATCAATGTTTCATAAATGCCTAAAATGAACCAAATATTAGAGGGCCTCCTTATTGGCCTTCTAGCTCCGGCTGTGAGTCACATGATCTTGTAAGAATATGAACCAGAGATTGGAAAGTTTACAAATTCTAACAACATTTAAACCACATGCCTATGTTGCATATCTTACTAAGATATTAATATCTCTAATATCTTTAAAAAGGCCTGCCATACACTGCTAAGACATTTTGATACAGCTAGCAGTGTATCATAATCTGTAATCTGAGGACCTTCGACCTCTAGGGGGCGTACAAACCTCCACCAACCTGGGCCTCATTCTGCCTTTTTTTGTTATTGTTTTTGTTAAAATAAATCAAATAAACTAATTAAGTGAGTGTGTGTTTAAATACTTTAAAGAGTTACTTTATTTATAAATAATAAAAATATTATAATAGGTTTGCTGGTTGGGTCTGTAACAGGATGATGAAGAGTGACGTCAGGTCAGGTGGTGACCGGTGGAATTTAGCGGCAAACTTGGCGGCTGCGTGACGAAGAAGCTTCTTCAAACATCTTGGAAAACAAACGTCGGAGCAACAAAGAGACAGACGACAAGAGAAAATGACACCAGAGAAACTGAAATTCGGACAAACAAACAATTTATCGCGGGTGTTTTGTAATGTCGGCTACTCGGCTAGCTAGCATTAGCATTAGCAAAGAACCGGGAGAGGACGTCGCTGACGTTGCAGAGGAGGAGGACGCGGCAGCCGTTGACGTTAGCTCATCATCAGGAAACGGAGGCGGAGAGCCACAGCCCAGGGACAGACAACAGCTCAACCGCCCCGCCCTCATCTCCACCTGAGCCCGACACCGATGCGGATGGCGAAACCCGGTGGCAGGTAGGTTTCCAGTTTAGCAGCCCTACAAACCGGAAGTTACTCGTAGCTTACGATCTAACTAACTAGCGCCAGGATAAAGTGTCTGAGGGGCATTTTTTTTTCATATAATAAAGTTAATTGATAAAATCACAACAACATAATGTCATATAGGGGTTTCTTTTGCAGAAAAGCATTGATTGTTTATGGTATGGTTATCTATTTTATAGTTGCATCTCTATGCATGGATGTATGATGCGGAGGAAATCCTGTATGATACAGGTTACATGTATTATTATCTATTATAGGTTTACCTACATTTACTAGTATGAACGAAAACTGTGCGTGATTGGTGGGAGAATCTGAATCGTAGAACTGCATTGATGGAGGTGGGGCAGTGTGTGTTGTATGCGATCAACTACACACTGTAGGTAAATGTGTTGATGTTGCTGCTACGGGTCAGGAATGTATTGTTACTAATTGTGTGGTGTAAATCCGGTCTGACAGAATATATCTACAGGTGATACTGTCCTTCAGGTTGTGATCATAGACTGTAGCCTGTCAATGTAAATCCTGTATAAGCTACAGGTGTCTCCAACGGCAACAACAACAACCTGCCAATCAAAACCTGGATTGCTTGTATGTGTGAGTGGAGGGGGTGAGGGTGAGGGTGAGGGTGGCCTCTGAGGTTTTGGGCACAGGGGTCTGTGCACTCTTAATTGTGGTCTGATTCAGCATTAGCCTGCGCACTGAGACACATTGTGTGTGTCCTTGAGGTCTAAGAAAAGTGTTAAATGAATTTCCTTCCTCTTAAGGCTTTTAAAAGGCAAATTTTGGTCTTCTGTGAGGAGGAGGAGGCATCTGAAGAAGTATGTCATGTAGACAGCTAATAAAAACGAATGAAATGGTCAAAGTTGTCATATTGACATTTAAGGTGTAGTGATCGATTTCCAAATGTCAGTCATGCATTGAGTAACACGCAAGAAAACATTCCACCTTAAAAGCAGCCTAGCTGTAGCTGAATACCCAAGGTAAAAGTGTATTGTGAGACTATGCTAAACACTGATTGTTTTAGGCTGTTAGACAGACGAGTGGATAGACAGAGAGACGGTCACCCGTACATTCACAGCACTGCACTAGTTAAGCAACAAACGGTTAGATAATCATTTACATCAAATCCTGAAAGAAAGAAAAGCTCACTTAGAAAATCAATAAATTATTGAACAACTTTCTGCTCCCAAATTCCCTGTGTGGAGCAGCAGGCTGGAGGAATTACTTACATCTCTTTCCCTTCAAGACCTTTCTTCTCCCTCTCTCTATTCCTCTTCCCTCCCTCAGTTCTTGAGGCAGACACTCACAGTTTGGTGGCATTTCTATCTCTTTTTTGTTTTTTTGTTTTATCCTGTTCCTTCCCGGGAAGATTGCGTTTGTGTTTGCTTGTTATCATGCGGTCACTGCAATCCAAACAGAGCAATGAGAGGACGAGCACGTTGTGGTTGCAGTGACCTGTGTCAGCGTGACCCACAGTTAATGAGAAAGGAATCACTATATACCGTGCTGCCAAATGATCTTTTAGTCTGCGTGGATCAATGCAGGGTGGGTTGAATAGCCATCCTGTTCAGAGGGCTGACACAGGCGTGATAGGTCAGCAGAGTAGCGCTGAAAAAAACAAATGTCAACAACAAATAACTAGTTTTAAATAAAAAATTTGTAAACATGTTATATTTGTTTTGTTTAATTTGTACAAAAAACAAAAAGTGTGAAAACAACAATTTGCTGTTTTTACAATTTTGTACAGATTAAAACAAGATTTATAACGTGTTGATAAGTGAGATTTAAAAATGCTGGTGGGAGATTTTGTTTCCTTCAGACAGAGCCGTGCTACCTTTTTCCCTGTTTCCAGTCTTTATGCTAAGCTAACAAAATGCTAACGGTAGCTTTGTGTACATACATGAGGGTGGTGTTAACTTCTCATCTAACTGGTGGTGATACAATCTTTTTTCTCTTGTATTCCCTCCATCACGTCTACACATTCTCACTTATTTTAATAAGGACATAATATCCGTCCCTGGTTTTGACCTTTGAGAGGACACTTGATGTGGTTTCTGTTAATTTTGTGAGTTTGAGGAGGTTCTCTTTTTGTTTTTTATTATCAGGCACAAGGGTCTGCTTTAACACTCAATGAAAATGAATGAGATGTCAGAAGGAGTGGGCTGACTCCTTTGTCATAAACAGTTTGATAGTGGCAGCACATTAAGGTACAAAGAGAGAAACATGCAGAGTAATGAATTGATATTCTGAAGGAGCCCAGATTAAATCAAATATTCATCTCTTTAACACAGTTTCTCTTTTTGTCTTTCTTTGAACCTGTCACCCCCCCTTTTTTTATCATAAACCATTCATTATATTTCCTGCTATGACTTTAAATCCTTCTCTCTGACGTTCGGTATTTTCTGTCCTCTGAGGGTTGAAAAATCGTTCTCTCGCATACCGCTAATTAGCCAACTATATGTTCCTGTTAATTAGCTAAGTTTGCTCAGAGAGACAGAGAATGTATTATGTATGTTGCAGCAGGTCCCAGTGGAGTAGGCTGATGTTTTCCAAACCTGCAGCAATATGCCGTGGTATTATATGCAGGTTCAGGGAGTGTTTCATTACATGTAAACAACTGTTAATTGTCACAAATGAGTTCCCACTGTGTAGGCATACACACAACGATACCAGTTTATTCTAATTATTCATCTTGATGATAATGTCCTTGCAGTAGTAAACCGGAATGATCTTTGGATGCAGCTGGAGTCTGGTTTGGGGTTTAATGATTTTCTGTGCCATAGTGGTGTGACAGTTTAATGTATAATATATATTATGATATATGTATGTGTATATATAAAGTGCATAGTAAATGCTCTTTAGATATGTTGGGGTTTTAGGTAAGGAGGTGCTCTTGGAACATTTCAAGAGATTCTTGCGCCCCGGCTCTGATAGACTGATAGGCGTAAGGCTGAATGATTGAGTTCAAGTGGATGGCGCAGACCCAGAAGTCACTCTGAAGGCAGCATTAATGACTTCACTTTGATTCCATGAGTAGCCAGTGTTGGTTCGATGAGTAGCGGAGTGACATGTGACCTTTTGGGTTGATGGAAGACCAGGCGGGCTGCTGTGTTCTGGACCATGTGCAAGGGTTTCACTGTGCACAAAGGAAGGTCCAGTAGAATTCTAATCTACTGATCACATATTTTTTTATTAAAATTGGTGGCCGATCAATCGGGGCATCCGGACTAGGAGTTCAGTCTTAGAGAGGTTTAGTTGAACATAAAACTAAGCCATGCCAAGAAAAAAAAAGTCTAACTGTAATAACAAACCAGTAACTTTCTGGTCTTATTCTTCATTTCTCTTATTGTCAACAAATCTCATGAAAAGATCAAAACCAATGTGTTAGACTGTCTGACTTCCCTACTCTGTCTGTGGCAATCAATCCCGGGCCCACTGGTTCCTACTGAAGACATAAATCTTTAAAAACAGCTCACAGTTATATACTTAAATTTTTAATAAAGGCTAAATAGTTTCTTAC